ATTGCCTTAAAGTACATCCAGATGGTGTTGACTATTTCCTTGAGGGATGGACTGGTTTCTCCAGCTCTTAAAAAGTAGCAGTCTGTCCTGTTCTCAAAATAAAAAAAAATCCCTCCATCAAACAGTCCTGGACAATTTTAATCCTAAGAAGGTAGACAGTTTGCATCTCCATTGGCTATAAAGGAATGAGATTATGCAGATACTTTTCAGTTGGAATTACAGTACTGGGCTAGTATTGATTGCACTTGTAGATGACCTGTGCAGGATCGTGATTGGGGATAGTACAGATGGATTATAAAGCTAGATAGCTCAAGGTGGGGAGAGAGGAATTTTGATCTCTGTGCCTGCTTGGATTTTGGCAGTGGAGATCCAAGCAGGCACGGATCAGCAGGGAGCTCTTTCAGCTAGCCCCCAGAGATGAGAAGGAGTCCTCTCGGCAGGCAGCACAGCTTGCAATCTTCCCTTCTAGCTTCCCCATTAACTTTCTGGGGAAGCCTGCAGAGAAAATTGCAAATGACAATCACATGATCATGATCTTAGGGCACTTGGCAACTGGTTGAAAGTGCAAAAGCACTCAGATTGTGATCATGTGTCTGCAAGGGAGGATTGTGACATTTTGTGATGGTCATAAGTGCTTTTCAGGCCCCAAAGCCCCCTTGTGAGGCTGTCGTAACTTTGAATAGTCATTAAGCAAGGATTACCTGTATGCTTGTGGCTTGCCTTCACTTGTGCTGTATTTTTGTTGCAGTGTGTTTTTTTGTTATTTGTCATTTTGTTTTATCCTTTTAAGCCTATGTCAGCACCCAGAGTTGCTGTTCATTAGTTCGGTGGCAGTGATTATATAAATCATTAAAAAAAACCCCACTTAAATCCATTATTCTATATTCTGTTCTCTGATATGAAAGAAAACATGCCTTAACTGTCTTCTGTGTAACATGAATTTACTTAATTTACTTGGACTTCAGTAAGGCATTTGATAAAGTACATCACAACCTACTACTTGACAAGATAGAAAAATGTGGGCTAGACAGCATCACCACCAGATGGATCCGTAGCTGGCTGACCGGCCGTAATCAGCGAGTGGTCCTCAATGGAACCGCATCTACATGGAGGGAAGGCCAACATTAGGCTGCATTAACAGAGGGATAGAATCAAGATCACGTGAAGTGTTAATACCACTTTACAATGTCTTGGTAAGGCCACACTTGGAATACTGCATCCAGTTTTGGTCACCGCGATGTAAAAAAGATGTTGAGACTCTAGAAAGAGTACAGAAAAGAGCAACAAAGATGATTAGGGGACTGGAGGGTAAAGCATATAAGGAACGGCTGCTGGAATTGGGTATGTCTAGTTTAATGAAGAGAAGGATGAGGGGAGACATGATAGCAGTGTTCCAATATCTCAGGGGCTGCCATAAAGAAGAGGGAGTCAAGCTATTTTCCAAAGTGCCTGAAGGCAGGACAAGAAGCAATGGATGGAAACTGATCAAGGAGAGAAGCAACCTAGAACTAAGGAGAAACTTCCTGACAGTGAGAACAATTAACCAATGGAACAACCTGCCTCCAGAAGCGGTGAATGCTCCAACACTGGAAGTTTTAAGAAGAGACTGGACAGCCATTTGTCCGAAATGGTATAGGGTTTCCTGCCTGAGCAGGGGGTTGGACTAGATGACCTTCAAGGTTCCTTCCAACTTTACTATTATTATTATTATTATTATTATTATTATTATTATTATTATTATTATTATTATTATTATTATTATTATTATTATTATTATTATTATAGTGAAAGAGGCCTATGTGTCTCCCTTCACTCATCTTTTTTCAAGGCAGAACATACCCAGTTCCCTCAATGCCTCTTTATTAGGGTTAGTTTCTAATCTCTTGATAATTTTTGTGGCTGGAAATTTGCTTCATTTTAGTATTATTGTTGAAATAAATTACTTTTTGGGGTCCTTAAAAAAACAAATGTATCTCTCTCATATATATTAAAATGTGATGTGAAGAGGCAGATAGCAAGGTCACGTTTCAAGCAATGGATTTAATATACTATTGGTATGAGAATGCTAAAGAAAGTTAATCTTTTCAAAACTTTCTATACTGTTAGCATTATGTTTCCAGAAATCTTATCGCTGATTGGAAAGTAGGTTATCTGATCAGCTTTATGCATCTGACCAACTTGGCATGCCATTTTTGGCATGCAGCTTCATCAGCTGGATAGCAGGGCATCACAGTGTATAATTTTAAGCCGAACAAGTGATTGGTATTACAGTGACAATAATTCCTTTATAACAGACTGATCGTTTCCAGGGTTTAGAATTCAGAAGTATCATTTTTAGTGTGGAATGTAGGACTAGGACTAGGATACATTCTAATATGAAATCATCATCCCAATCAATCATTGTCATCACCATGTGGGGAAAAACGTTTTTGTTTATTTTTTATTGCTTTTAAAATAATAACAAAAAAGAAAACAAACACATAGGTAATTATAATACAAAACCATATGTTCTAAAGAAAAAAATGCATATAAAGTGCTTAAAAAGAAAAAAAAGGAAAAATTAAAGTATAATATATATCATTATTACAGTTAACAATTATAATTTTATATATACATGTCTAATATAAATATGATTCAAATACACACACACGCACACACACACACACACCACACACACAGTAGGTTTTTAATATATGTAGCCCTTGACTTGCAACCACAGTTGGGACCAGAATTACCCATTGCTAAGCAAGGTGTTGTTAAATGTTCTATTCTATTCTATTCTATTCTATTCTATTCTATTCTATTCTATTCTATTCTATTCTATTCTATTCTATTATTTCCAGTGTTACAATGTCAGACTTTTAGCTGCAGTAAGGCCACAGAATACATTTATGTTGCCCAGTTGTCAAATTCCATTGTATATAGGTATGTAATTCAAGAGAATATTATTCTCTGAAAATGTTAACTTTTGTCACACAGATATATAATATGCATATATACATATACATACATACATAAATACATTCCACTACTTGTCTCCCAAAATCGAATAAGTATACAACTTTGTAAAAGCATGTTTTAAAGATGTATTGTCCTTATTTCATCCCCCACAAAATGCTGTTAGGCAATCCTTTTCTATCTCACATAATGAAGTCTAACAAATTTTAAATATTATTTTTGTGGCATAAATTATAGTTTAAGATCCATTGTAGAAGGAAGTTCTGGCTGAGGAATACTGGGAGTTGAAGTCCACAAGTCTTAAAGTTGACTGATTTGGGCACTCCTGGTGTAGGCACTATAGGAACCTCTAATCCTTTATTCTACAGATTTCTTAGCATCTTCTTATCAAATTGACTTATTGATAACAAATATCTATAAAAAGCTAATAGTAGATTTTTTAGTTTTAAGGTATTTAACAAATTCTAGTATCTCAAGTGGCTCAGAAGTTGAAGATGCTGCTGGTCCAAATAATTTGTTAACAGAGTTGTAGCTGTAAATATTGCCATTGACTTACATCTTATAAATGATATTTATCTCTTAATATGTTAGAATTAATCTTCATTGTCTATCAGTTGATCCAAAGTCAATATCTCCACTTCTATCCACTTCATACATATTAACATCTTTTTCCCAATTTTTAAAATTGGGTTTTCTCATAAGGTTAATTTAGCATGGAAAAGGGAGTCAAATCTTTTTTTAAACATTACATTCCAGAATTTTCTAACTGACATAATTTTTTCCAGAAATACTAGACTTCTAATATATTTAGATCCTAATCCTGTCCATCTAATCGGAGGTGCTATATATATGTATATTCCAAAGTTGCCCAAGTTGGAATATTAATATCAATTATTGGCTTTGAGGATTTAATACTTGATAATAGGTAAGCAGGATGATATAGCTCCAGACTTGGAAAAATGAATCTTCCCTCATTAATTGGTAATTGCATTTTTTGTAAAGATATTCTTGGGATTGAAGAATACCTTTAAAATTTTGTAAGCAAAGAATTTATTTTCTGAAAATATTTTCCAGATACATGAACTGGAATTCCTCTCAGAATATAAATTAATCTGGGAATAATATTCATTTTTCCCCAAAGTGTTCATTTTCCCCCAAAGGGCAAGGTTTAATGACTCCCTTCTATCAATATTTGAAGAAAATTCTACATTTTATTTATATTACTGTACTTGTTACTAATTTAATTATGTTTTTTAGTATACACATAGCTAGACCACATGGGGCAAAAATGATATATGATAACAATTGAGAGTGCTTTTTTAAAAAAGACAAATATGGTAATTCCTGTTAATAATGTAGCTGTTCACATTGACCAGGATTGGAAAGCTATTCTAGTTGTTTGTATTTTGAAAAATAATAATAATAATGTGATTAATGTGATTAACAATGTTATGTGCCATATCACACTTTGCTTCTGAAAACTCTGAATTTTGGAAGTGTGTGATGTGCTATGTAAGATATAAACCCAAAGATCCTCTTTGGGACTGATTGCATTGGTATTAGCCTTTGATAAGGAGCGCCAAAACAAACTAACTAACTCAGGTTAGTTCTTCTTCTTCTTTATATTCTTTTTGTTTTTGGTGCTGAGTAGAAAAGAACAGAAAATGTTCTCATAAAGGACACAAAAGTGATTTATTTTGTAGAAGAAATCAGAGCATTTAGCAATGTTGATTTGAATATTTTGGAAATGCATTTCCATCTGTTGTTATCCCCAATATTGCCAACATTTAATCCATAGAAACAAATTCTTTCACATTTCTATCTGTAGTTGTGTTATGAGATGTAGATACTGATGATATAAAATTGCAGTAATAATTTATTCTAGGGTTTAGTATGCTGAAAATATGTGTATTTGTGGAAGGGCAACTTTTTAAGTAGAAGGGTAGTTCAATCTGAAGTTATCTTCTACTATAATTCTTTAAGTTTTTTGCTAAATTCTCATCCCTTCTAAACAAGGTGTGTGTTTTGTTTTATCTGCCCAGGAATTGAATAGCTTTAATTACTTGGACCTCTATAAACTTGCTGATCTCTTCAACCTCAATCTGCTGGAGAAAGCCGTGGTTGATTTTTTAGTGAAACATCTCTCAGAACTACTAAATAATCACCCCGACGAAGTCCTGGCGCTGCCATATTGCCTCATCCAAGAGGTTTTGAAAAGCGATCAACTCACGTCACTCAGCGAAGAACAAATCTGGCAGGTAATGTACAAAGAGTGATTAAACTATTGAAAGACCAGTATTGTATCCATAGCTAGGGAACTAATTATTGATTGACTAATCTCATGACCATATCAAATAAAATAAAATAAAGTAGAATATAATGTCTATTTCCAGAATAAAACAGGAAAAAGAAAATGCAATAATATGTATTATTATTATATAATTAGTACATGTACTAAATGTATACTGTACATCCATAAGCATTTCTGAAAATCAGATTGCTAGAGCAAATGACAAGAAACAATAAAAGAAAAACATTAGGAATTAATTATTAGTGCAATATTAATTAATTATTGCCCCGAGGAAGCACTAGGGGGCATTCTGAAGTCTGCTTCACCCCTTTGACAAGAATGCAAGTAGAACTTTACTGTTCCAGAAGGGGAGGGAGGGGTTGATAATACTCAAGACCTTCATATGCCAAGAAGGGGCTGTAAAATGGAGCAGGGGTTAACAAATACAGCTAATTGGTTGGGGGATTATATTCTCAGCTTTTGCTGCATAGCTTGTATCATTACATTCTTAGCATAAGAGGCTCTTGGTATTCAATACAGTCTACTTTACAGTTAGAAAAATACGCAAGGATAAGCTGAAGTATGCTTTGCCACAACCAAAAGTAGAGATTCAGTTCATTTCTCTTATATTTAGCAATATTAGTCTGTGTATGACAACTATCAATAGCAGTTTCCTTGAAGAACTAGATACATATCTCTGATAATTAATTTGATGAAGTTGATCTTGGAGGAAGTGGCTGATAAATTGGCATGTCAACATGATCCCTTAAATCCCATAACTGTCACACTTCCTATCAGTGGAGATTCTCTGGAATGTCCAAATTTTGAACTGGGCTAAAACATAAATAGGTTCTGTCTGACTAAATTCAGTTTCTTAGTAAGAAATCTTTGTTGTATTTAAGTATTGGGCTTTTCAGGACTCCAAATTCAAAGTAAAAAAAGATGCTTTGGAGCGTATGGGAATATGCAGGTAGTACCTCTCTGTAGATGAAGCACCTAAAGGCAGGTCAAGAAGCAATGGATGGAAGCTAATCAAGGCAAGAACCAACCTAGGAGAAATTTCCTGACAGTTAGAACAATTAATCAGTGGAACGGTTTGCCTCCAGAAGCTGTGGGTGCTCCAACACTGGAGGTTTTTAAGAATAGATGACAACCACTTGTTTGAAATGTTATAGGGTTTCCTGCTTGAGCAGGAGGTTGGACTAGAAGAACTCCAAGGTCCCTTCCAACTCTGTTATTCTGTTCTGTAGATACTCAAACTAAACACATTGTTTTTCCGGGATTGTGCTGAAGCTGTGGAGGCCAGCTGCATAATCCTGACGGGAAAGGGGAGCTTCTTTCAGAAGTTGCAGACAGGTGCTATGCACGAGCGCCCCATGCACTCTGAAGCACCTTTTTACCTTTGAATCTGAAGTGTTACACAGCACTACTAAGTAATAGATGAGGATCCTTATCTCTTTCCACTCTGCCCTGGAAGCATCTTAAACAGAAGCAGAAACTGCTTATGAATGGTGGACTCTGGCTGGAGATCTGCGTGCAGCAGAGTTTTAGTTCAGTGCCATTGTTTTGGAGCCATTCAACAGTTCACATTTTCTCCTTCTCCCCTTACTTTGAGCAGGAGGGCAAAATTCATATCTCCAAGGGAAAAAAGTTGAGTTTACCATGTGGGAAATGCAAGCGTGGGATTGTCAGAAAATACGTCTTATACTGAAATGCAGTAGCAAGACCGTTTCCCCAAGTCACGAAGCATTATGAGAACCTGGTCTGTTTCTCCTCCACATGCTGCATGTTCACAACACACCTACTTTTTGCAGTTGTGCTTCTCTGCTGCAGCACATTTAGCATTGCGAACATTGCGAACAGTGACAAAAGTGCTGCTTTCCGAGTGACAGCAAATGCTGCACTGGCGATTCTAGGTGTTATTATTATAATTGCCTTACTAATGCCGTTACCTAGAATCTTTAAGCTGTTCTATTGCTGTGGGCAAAATGAATGAAACCGGAATTTCATTTCTGGACCTCTAGAATGAATTAAGACACACATAAATATTTGCCAATTTAGGCAGTAAGTAACTCTTTTTGTTTTATCTTAGTAAATAAGCAATTCCTTCGCAGTCAAGCCAATACATGAAAATCAAATCAGGGCTGCTCTGTTGCCTCGAGTGTAGTTAAGTTCATCATTTTTGTTAAGGTTATACTGGTAAAGCAATATACCATGGAAGAATCTAATATTCAGCCCAGGGTGAAGATTGGGTATGCCAGAGGATTAGTGTCAGGGTGCTTTAGAGAAGTGAAACTTGATATACAGGCTGGAGCCAGAGCTACAGAATCTCATTAAATTGCTGAATTGTTCATTACTGAGCACTCTCCCTTTAATAAAGTGCTCATTGACTTTGACAAATCCCCATCCTGTGTCTTAAAGGACAACAACAGGGTAAGAGGCATTGGTGAGGAAGGGGGCTACTGGCTGAAATTTGGGTGGGGGCATTGGTGGAAAAGCAGTAGAAAAGCTGGTGAAGAATACTTGTGTGTTAAATTGGTGAGGTGTTGGTAAAAGCCAGCTGCAGCCATGTTGTGTATGCACATACATGAACAGAGGAACTCTGATTTAGTATTCCCCCCCAAGGCATCATCCACTAGTTGTGCTTCCAATAAGCATCAACCACAAATTTAATGGTGTCTCTGCGCTTTCCTTTTCCCAAGGGCAGGGCGCTTGGAGTGGATAGCAATATTGTCTAGGCATAAATAATTCCTACACTCTTGTCACTGAAATGATGACTCATATTCAGTATACAGGCTGAACAATTTAGAAGAAAAATATTTATCTTGAATACTGGTAAGGCCAGGCTATAAACAGATAGGATTGTGGCTAACATGGAGTTGTGGTCACATGATCCTTGTGTAGATAGTCTCATGGTTCTTACATTGCCAGGGAATGTCCCCTATCTGTGAGAGCCAATAAACAAGTGCTAATGCTTAAAAACTTGGTAAATGTTGAAATAACATTTTTTTAAAAAACAAATTCTGGGTAGAATTTGAATATAAGAAAATGTTACGATGCCAGCATTAGTATACTTGAATTCTTATACACTAATGGTTTTGTTTCTGATGAAAACACAAATGCCTTGTTTTCAAAATCAGATATCAGTGGCATATCACCTTGCAGACGATGACCCAATAAAGCTCACATCTTTTTATAAAAATATTTTAGGACTTGCTGTGTTGTTTTTTTTTTTTTCAAATATAAATTTTTATTATTTTCATCATAAAAAAAGCACATCACAAATACATCACAATGTAAAAACCCTACCCCCCACCCCCCCCGGACTTCCCAAACCTAATCCCAGGATACTATTCAGCTAAAAGTAAACTAGTATTAATATCCCTAACTCCACAAAATATTATTTTACATAAGTAGGTGAAATATATATATATAAAAAAAAAAATTATCTAAAAACCTAAATTATATTCCACCATTCTATGTTTATTTTGAATATAAACAATCCATCTTCTCCATATTGATAAAAATTGTTCATTTGAGTGATCCTTCAGATAAGCCGAAATTTTTGCCATTTCAGCAAGATGTGAAACCTTCAATCTCCAGTCCTCCATTGTAGGTAAAACTATACTCTTCCAATTTTGAGCTATCAACAAACGGGCAGCAGTTAAAGGACTTGCTGTGTTTAACATCACAGTTAGAGAACACAATGTAGAAAATTACAACATATTTTTTTTCCCTTTATGTTAATTTTTCAAAGTCTTGCTCAGGAAGTAAGATAACTTAGGAAGAAAAAAGACGATCTTAAGACTAATTGCAATTTCACAGCACTTAGATGGACTATAACAAGGATTGTCTGTTGCAAAAACCTCAGGACAGACAAGAATCGATGGGTATCAACTGTGCTCTAGATGTTTGGGAATTCTGGCTAATAAATTTCTGCAAGCCAAAAATATTATTAATATTGTTGGTTGGTTGCATAATCAGCCAGATGTTTAGACTGGATTTGGGATTTTTATCTGCCTATTGAATCCTTCTCAAAGACCTGGGATAGGCAGATGTTGTTAAAGATATCATAGCAGGATGTAAGCTGTTCCAAGTAGAGCTGTCTTTTGCAATTTACTGATAATTTTGTCAATGCCAATGGTATTCAAATAGTACTTCAGTTGTTTTGGGATTGCACCCAAGGTGCCTATTGCTATTGGTAGTATCTTTGCTTTCTTTTACCCCAGTTGTTCTACTTCCTATTTGCAGTCTTTGTATTTTGTTATTTTCTCCCTTTCTTTGTCTTCTCTTCTGCTATCTCCAGATATTACAGCATCCATTATCCAGATTTTTTTGTCTTTCTTATCAACAGCTGTTAAATCTAGGGCATTATGTGGTACAGACACAGAAACCCACTTCAATTGAAAAGTATGGATTTATACTATATACACAGAGGTTGAGGTGGCAAAAATAGTTCCTCTTGTGGTTTCTTGCTTTGTGGCTTGTGTGATGTGATTTTTTTTTAAAAAAAAAATTCTCACAATCTAATAGCCATACTTCAGAGACCATCCTAGATGAGGAAAGTCTGGTTTGGGAACAAGACATTTCTCTCTCCTCTGCCTCCCCCTTTCTCTGTTGGAAATATACTTTGTTAGAATAGTTCTTGATTTTGTTGAATAGAAAATATTAGGAAGAGAGTGAAATAGAAGGAAGTAACAACACAGCAAACAAGCAACACTGAAAGACTGAAGCACAGAAGTTTGTAGGAAGACAGGAAGTCAAATCATGAAGACACTCTGTGTGGGTGTTCAGAATTGTGGGAGTTATGGTCCAAAATACTTGAAAGACCTTAGATCACTTATTCCTTACTTTATTGAATATGTATTATTGTGTTGACATAAAACATTTTGCCTTTTGGTTTAGACAGCTAATTTGAAGGACGGTACCCCAGGGAATGATGAGTTTGGAAATAGGAACTTAAAAGGA